AGAGAGAGAGAGAGAGAGAGAGAGAGAGGGGAAACAGAAACAGACACACACTAATATGAGAGACAGTCGGGGGAGAGAGCCAGCCAAGTAGCCTCTCAGAGCAGCAGCATCTCTCCACCGTCTCGCACATTTGCAAAGTGAAACTCAGAGGGCAGGAAGTCAGGGCCACGCCCCTTGATCCACGGGCCACAGAGGACCTGGCTTTTCCTGCCCGCAGGACTGGGCAGGTTCACGCACTCTTTCATCCACACTTTCAGCAGTGGCTCATTCAATTGGAAAGGCGGGCCTTGGGGACAGAGCAGGAGCCCCAGGGCATGCCTTGGAGAGGCCCAGATGTCAGAACTTGACAGCCTGTGTGCTATTTGAGGTCCCTGCTAAAACATGACACCTTCCATGAACAAAAGCTACATTACATGGTATACTCAGCTTGATTTTTTATAATCTGGAAAAGAGTTTTCCCAAGTCACTGTGCGGCCAAAACCATAGCTGTGACTCAGACAGGGAAGGCGGCTCAGTGTGACTGTGAGGATGGAAGAAGACAGCATTTAGGTCAATGTCTAGGATCTTTGTTCTTGTTTCTATTAGAATATGGTGCCATTCTTTTGGTTACTATTTAATAGTGAAATCAGAAAAGAGTTGTTCTGGTGAAACCACACTTGCGCATTCATTCGACACCCGTTGGTTGGGCAGCTAATACTTATGAGCCTCTGAGAAACCCCGGTTGACATAAGAGACTCAATTTTTGTTTAAAACTCACCATTTGGGTCCTCTGTGTAGCCTCAAGATTGTTCTCCTGGGCAAAGCCCACCTACTACCCATTAGAGACCACAAAGCGTGCTTGTGGCTACCATAAAACCGACATAGCAGGAAGGGTTTATGAGGTTCACCTGCCAGAGGTACTATCTCACCCCGCTCTGAGCTCAGGAATTTTCCTCTGAGAAAACCCACTCCCCAGCTAAAACATTCCACAGGAGATGCCTTTAACTAATTGTACCAGATGTCTTAACTACGCATCGTTCTCGCTTCTATAAATGTGCTTTAGGCTTAGATACGGACTGGGGTAGATGGGGAAGTCAAGGGGGTAAGGATATTTTTGTTTGTTTGTTTTTTCTTCCTATAAAAACTGTACTCAGTTTCAGCTTGGGATCCGACTCCACAGCCAGTTCCACTGGAGGGTAGGTCCCGGCTGGCAAAATAAAGTTCTTGTTTGGACTTTATCACCGTGCCGTGTCTTGGGTAAGGGTCTCGCCGAGGGACTGGACACAGCACCTCCATGCTGGAACCCATGCACAAAGGCACAAGGATGTGCACCCTTGACATTGAAGCCTGTCCTCTGAGAGTTGGGGGATGAAGAACACAAGAATAACTAGAAGGAGAGAAAGAAGATGCTAAAGAAATCTGTTCAGTGAACGTATGGCCTTGATCTGGACTGAGATCCTCCACGAGGTACTGACAGACCAAAATGGAGGCACTCGGTTCCACATCACCAAACTAAACCTGAGCCTTTCACTTCTAAGATCCGATCCTTGTAAAATCAGAAGAGAACAAGAGTCAAATGACCAATCAGGCCTGTTTGAAAAAAAAGGGCAGGAGACTCACAGCAACTAGACAGGTCAACCTGAGCTGCCACGCAGAGGAAGTCCCCTCTGCTTCAACAGAGTGAGGAAAGTGACCTGAAGTGACCTCATGTAAACCAATCCACTGTTTGCTCTCTGCTGTTTCTTTGTCCCTGCTCCAGGCAATGCTCTGCCAGGCCCAGGGGAACACCTGGCTATGTTGTAGTCTGGATGCTGCTGGGATCACAAATTGGCAGTAAGAGCCATTTAGAGCTTTAACACAACTTGCTGAATTTTTGTTCTGTGATCTTCTCTACTGGTACTGTGGAGCTAGTTTTCTATGAAAGACACCTTTTGGGGCTGTCTAGCTTGGTGTTGAAATATCTAAGCTCAGCTAGTTAATAAAGTTTGTCACTACTATCACAAACTGAGTGGGCAGAAAATGGAATAGGAAAGCACACCTCAGGCTGACCGTCCTGATGTGACCTCAGTCTGCTGGAAACCACTATGGGGACCAACGCCAAGTTGTCACCCCCTCTCCTGGTGGTAGCAACTTAAAATGGCAAAAAAAAACCTGAGAAGAAATGCCTCCCGCCTCACGTCATGGCGATGACACACCCACAGAGGCACCAGCTTAGTCAAACTACCTAACTAGCTGCTTTGGGAGGAAAATAATTGCTGAGGTTTGATTTCTCTGCCTTAAGAAAAGATTTGGGGGTAAGATTGTAGTTCCGTGGGAAAGCGAGCACTTGCCTAGCAGATGTAAGCCCTGGATTCAGTCTCAGTACCACACACACACACACACACACACACCTTACAAATATGATTTTAAGTGCCTGGGTGAAACGACAACATGGCATAGACTTAAAGATTGTGCAAAACTTTCTTACATCACCAGCCAGTGGAACTCAAGCTGCCTTTAGTGATGGGAAGTCCCGAGATAGACTTGCTATCTGTGTGACTCTTCTGAACATATTTATCAATTTCAGCTGACCCTTGAGTTGCAACCAGCCTGCCATGTGAACAACTTGGGTTACGATCAGAATTTTAGTTTTAACTTATGACCAAAGTCTTGAGTTACAGCCCAAATGCTGGCCACTTGTGCTTCCTGATGGTCGCAGATACAGATTTAACCCTTAAAGAGCTCCGGAAGGAACATTACAACATCCTTTTCCGTGTGGGGTTAATTAAGAATTCCTGGGCCAATGTCTCTCTAAGGACACTGAGATCTGCCTGGAAGA